GGCCTCTGACACACTCACCTTTCACGATCTTACCATCAAAGAAGAAGAAGAAGATGGCGTCAACATCCATTATCGCTTCTCCTCCCTCACGGGCAACATCTTCGGCCGTCGTTGCATTGGCTCTAAAGATGGGTGGCTTGTGACACTTGACAAAATGGATTTGCAGCCTCGCATATTCAACCCTCTCACAAAGGCTGAAATATCTCTCCCATCCCTATTCATCATCCCAGAAGATAAATATCATAGGATCAAACTCGATGACTCTTCTGAGTTTTATTATGATGAAATACATGATTACTACGCCACAGATGTGGAAAGGTTTCGCGATGTATATTTTCGAAAGATTGTCATGTCCTCTAATGACCAATTTGGAACTGTTGTTGTTATCTACGGCTATATTAAATTGTTGGCTTTGCTCAGGCCCAATGATAAGGCATGGGTTCTCGGCCCTTCTGACCACACCAATAAGTGGGTGGACTTTGAAGACGTTTACTATCATGAAGAAGAGCATAGGTTTTATGCAATCACACATTTCTCGGCAGTGCTAGCCTTTGACCTCAACGGACAGAATGTTGAATTCATTTGTCCACCAATATATGACGATGCCGCGTACTCTAATATCATGAACTATATTGCATTTTTGTTTGGAAAACTCATAAAAATTGAGAGAGAGGTCGATTATATTAAACGTGGTGAAAGTATGACAGTGAAGACAATTAGGATCTCAGTTCTCAAGTTATTGCCGGATGGTGTTGCATGGATCCCCATCAAGGACTTGAGAGATTTCTCTTTGTTTGTAGGTTGTAACCAGACATTCTCATTGCATCACACGGTTGCTCCTGGAATTAAACGGAACTGTGTATACTTCACCGACCATGTGGAGACTATGTCACCAAATGATGTTACTCGTGATGCTGGATATTTTGATCTTCACAATGAATCCTTTCACTATTTTTTAGATTCAGATTCACAGCCAAATTGGCCCCCTTCAATCTGGTTTATGCCATCATTTTCATAAAATGGATATCTTCATCTATTGGAGGAATTAGGTGACATAAAAATCTTTGAATTATAAATATTTTTTAATCTTAGTTAGTCAAATATTAATTCAGATAATATTTAGTATCCTTTTCTATCTAAATATGTATTTCCAATGTCATCTTGAGCATGCCATCATTGAGATGGAGCTAATCAGTTTTGATTTGGGATCTACTAAAATGAAACTGATTATTAAGCTAGTTTTATTAGAACATAATTTACATTCAATTTCCTGGAATAAGTATCAAGATTTAATCAATATGTTTGCAATTATAT